AAATATTGGATTATTTTATTAGATATGCTCTTAGAAATTTCTCTGTGTAAAACCAGTAAAATCGGTCTATAAGTACCAAAGATATGATCAAAACAAATACGATCAACAAATTTCAACTCGTTTGGCGCGGGAGTGTTGTGTATCTTATTATTTTTTATGGACTTTTTGATTAGGGGATGTAAAATTTTATATTTGCAAAAACATCAAAATGTCAACCCAATTGTATGTATATACATATTTCTACCGAAAAGTCTGCTTTTGTCACATCATATCGGTGTAAATACCAGTATTTAAAAGTAAAAAAAATGAAAACTTGAACAAAAAATTTGGTTTATATTAGAAATCGGTGTTGGTGCGTGATGTTTTTGCTTCCAAATGACATAAAAAAATTATTTTCACTACTTATACAACATTGGCTATCACGTGGTGGTATGCCAAAAATTTCGCCAAATTAGTTATATCCCTAATATACATATGTCCACTAATTTTTTTTAATTTTCTTCAAATTGATTATAATCCGTGATTCCGATAGACACTGTGGGCTAGAGATTGATTCTGATTGATTCTCGGATAAACCAATTGGCATACACGGGATCAGTGGTGACCTATTTATGACCTCAAGGCGAAGCCCTTCAGATTTGTTTTACGAATATTTTCCTTTCAACTTGAATTGCGCAGAATTTTTTGAAAATTGCGTATTACATTTAAATAGATGCAGTTAACAAGTTGTAATTAAGTGTTTCTATTAGTTATAAATAGGCTAGGCGACTTGGGACCCACTGTGTGTGTAGTCTATTAAAACAAGTCTTCTTTTGCAGACATTTAACTTTTTTCTTTATTATATTTTTACTTGTTTGCTTTTTCAACAAAATTCGTTATACGACGATTGTGTTTAAATGTTGACCCCCAAAACTCATGCTGCTACAAAAAGGAAGTGAAGTCTCTTTCTGTGTTACTTTTTTGTTTCTTGGTTTGTTTTTCTCTGCTCGTTCTCTCTAACTCTCCTGTTGGGCTCCTCTTTTATTAACATTCCCATAGCATGAAGTGATGCCGCCTCACGTTACACAAGTTGATTTCCTAGAGTTCCCTCTTACATTTAAGTTTTGTTTCTGTGGCGCGGACGGGGGGATTATTATTTGGATGTTGTTAACTGTGCCGTGCTGTTATAGGAAGACAGCAATTGCACAGTACAACACATATCACATCATCATTATAATATTCGCCTATATATTTGCCTTCATCATAGAATCCAATTCCCAAATAAAATACTTCTACATTAATAAAGTGCTCCTCTATGAATATATTATATATGCATACATACATATTGTATGAATGTTGGTTTGTGAACCTACACAAATACCAATACAACATTATTAACATCATTTTAGTGAGTTAAGGTTGTTGTTTTTGTTTTTCTCTATTCTACTTTATATTACCTACTCGTCGTTATAATCCATCTATCCATCCATATGGTTTGTGTTTGGTAATAGACGTAGTCTCGAATATTTGTATCTGTATTTGTTAAATTTTAATGTTGATAGTAATAGTTTCACACAACTGTATAGAATGTACCGAAAGGAAAGTGAAAATTTGTGGCTACAACATCTAAAAGTTACGACGACGTCGACCACTGAGATGGCCTTCCCCCTGTAAAAAGCACTCCTCGCCATTAAATCCTCAAATGCAGCCAGCCCATCATCTATTATGTACACACACAGACGAACACACATGCATACATTCATACACATTATTTGCTTGTATGGGTATAACTTGTAATTTTCAGTGTGTTTGCATTGTACTTTGCATTCTCGTAACCTTTGTAAAAATTGTTGTTATTCTCCTCATAGTTGTGGATTTATGAGTGAGTTTTTATTTTTCTAAAACAATTATTAGAGAGAATTCTCTTGTTGCAGTAAAAACAGAAATTAGATTTCTCTATTTTAACGATACTGTTGTTGCAATTTTCATGTAGTTTTTCTTGTCGTTTTTTTATATTTGTGGAAATAAATATGAATGTTCTACTTTGTGAATTGTTTTCCCTTTTTCTGTGTTTATTATTGTTAGAGTAGGGAAATTATATACATATATTTTTTTTCCAATATGTAGACTTTGTGGGTATTGCAGGCATTCTGAAGATCCTATAGGATAAATATAATAAATGTGATTTAAAAAACTATGATTTATAACCTCAATTGTTTATTTTAATTCAAAATTATAATCATATGTTTTGCAAAATAAATGGAGAAATCGTTTCTCTTATTAAATAAATATTTACATATACAGTGGACGTCCAATAGTACGTATACTCTTTATTACGAATGTCCAATAATACGAATGGCAAAATTGTTGCATTGTCTACTCTATAGTACGAATAAAGTCACAATTTTTCTGTTCGATAGTACGAATAACGCATTTTTTATGGGAATTTTGGTTGTATTTACGTATGAATGAAGTTTTTATTTTATTATTTCGGTATCATTCACCTTAAGCTCAGTAATTTTGAAGTTTTTTTGTATTTATTACAAGTGTTTTGTATTTTTAAAAATCCTATACACACAATTTACTGCATGTGTATTTACAAATCAACAATTATTTAGTGTTATTAATTTATTTTATTGGAATTTTGATGACCCAAGAGAAGAAATTAAATTGGATGATAACGCCAATGAGGAAAGTATTTTATTAGTTCCCGACAATAACTCTGCTGAGAACAATATTGAAGCCTCAAAAGCGCTGTTATTGAAAAAGCCGTAGGAATCATTTTACAAAGTAATAAACATCGATGTTAAATGATGGATTTTTTAATAAGTAAAATGATATTTATATACATATGTATGAACTGTTAATTTTGAAAGTAGTGTGACTCCACATTCCAAACAATGGGTTTAAGGATAACTATTCTAATTTTTAAGAGAAAATTATAAATTAGAGAATTGTGGTATATTCCATTCAAGTTTCTAATAAAAGTTTTATGTAATCTGAACTTTTTAACACATTTTAGAACACATATGTAAATTGCAAATTGTCTTTGGCACACATCTTTTTAAAAACATTAAAATTTAAAACCTTCTACATATATCTCATTTCAACCATTGGACTCACGATACTTTCAAAATTAACAATTCATATACGTAAATATGTCCCTTTTATGCCTGTTTATGTACAAGAAATTTATTTAAAATAATACACATTTATTATATTTTGTTCCGTTATGTAATTTTTATGAAAAATAAAACAAAAATAAATAAAATCCAATATTTTATGTGTATTATTTGAATTTAAACATACAAAATGTGTTGTTCAATAATACGAATTTTTCGGTATTACGAAAGGGCCTGACACTATATAATTCGTACTAGTGGACGTCCACTGTACTATTATCTATATGTATGTATATATAAAAATTAATGTGTGTTTGTTTGAAGTCTATAGCCGTCTAAACGACTAAACCGATTTTCTTCAAATTTTCTCATGCATAGAAGGAAAAATAGGCTACCTTTTATTTTGAATTTCCAAGTGGGCGAGGTGCCACAACCTCTTACTAAATAACTATTAAAAGTAGTATATCTCGGAAACTGGTACAACTAGAGTCCTCAAATTTTGAGCGAACAACTTTGACACATATATGAATTCTGGGGGAAAAATGGACGATCTAGCAATAGTGGGTGTGGCACATCCCACGCCTATATTGCTAGCCAATACTAAATGACGTATGTAAATTTGGAAAACTATAACAGCTACAGTTTCCAAATTTTGTACGATAAACTTAAGTGTCAATATGAAAATTTTGTGCAATAATTGGCGGATAAGAAATAATGGGCTTGTCATCCCCCATATAAAGTTAGTGGAAAACTATAAAATTTGGGGTGCTAAAATTTTGTCGGCACCACTTTGATATCAATATGAATATTAAAGACAAATATTGGCGGAATAGAAAAAGGGGGATATGAATTAAATACAAAAATTCGTATATCGGGAGAACTTTTCGAACCAGAAAGCTCAAATTTTTTACGAACAATTTTGACATTCGTGAAAACATTTGTTAATAAATTGTCCGATTACGGAAGCGTGGTCCCTCCCATATGAATTAAATACAAAAATTCGTATATCTAGGAAACCATTATATATCCTCAAATTTTGCACGATCAACACTGAAATCCATGTGAACAATTTGCGAAAAAATAACAGGACCAGCAAGAGGGACATGGTACCTCCCATATGAATTACATTTATTACATGAGAAAATATAGGAACAAGAATCCTCAAATGTTGTACGTGTTGTAGGGGGCACGACTTCTCCTATATGAATTATATACAAGAAATATCAAATATTACACTGGCAACATTTAAATCCATATGAACATTTGGAAAAAGAGGGTAAACCATCAATAGCGGATGTATATATATTAAAACAATTAAGAATCTGGCCTTTACACATGGTAGGCCAAAAAATGTTTTGTTTATTTCTTTAAATGTGCCAACCGAGCGACCAACAAACCCTAAAATAATGCGTACCAGAATTAGACACTCCATGCAGTGGGTCTGGGTCGTGTTGAACAATATTTAACGCTTGCGTTTAAATACAGCAAAAACAAAGTTTTTGTTTTGATTTTTTTAATTTTATGTAGATAGGTATGTATGTATTTCTTGTATGAGTATGTATTTTTATACACCGTTTATTTTGGCAACAATAAAAAATTATTTGTTTGTTGTTTTGTTATTAGCACACAAGATTTGAATGCAAATGCGCATGAGAGAGAATATTTTACTCACACACATAGTAAGAAAAAAATTATAAACAATTATAAGTGAGAGTGAAAATTATTTTGTAAATATAAAAAAGAAGTGTTGGGATCTATCTGTGGGAGTGGGGCAAAACGTTAAAAGAGAAAGAGAAAAATGTTTAGGTGCATGTGAGTGAACGAATGAGTAATTATGTATCTGTAGTAGAGTATCTGTGTGTTATCTATTTTTCTCTTTTCGTATTGTTTGTATGGTTGGTGTTGTTTTTCGGGTATGAGAAGCAGGCAAACAACATTGTTTTTACGGTATGATTGCTGACTAGATGGATGGATGGCTGGTGTTGTTGCTAAATGTTTTTTGTGTATTTTTCTACTTCTACAACTGCGATATTCATTGGGAGCTGTGAAACGTTGTATATTTCGTCTTCTTTCGTGTTTGTTGTGTGTTTGCAGCCAAACAGTCGTCATCACTTTTACATACACGACGGTTTGTTAAACAAATTCGACGCTAAATCACATGAGTATAACAACAATAAGCTTTATGAACGTACGTTAATGTTAATGTTGTTGTTGGCAAAAAGTTAAAAAGTGGATATTGGAGTAAGAACGAAAGCGATGGAAAAACATCCTCCCGCGCCCTTAAATCATTAACAGCAAACAAAATAAACATTATTTTGGCAACTTGAGGCAGCGAATGTATGGGCCTCAACAACAAACCAAGATAAACAATAAGCCAAATCGAACCAACCAACCAGTCTATCAGTTAGGCAGTTAGTAAAACTGCTAAAGCACCAGCACCATCAACAACACCATAAGCAACAGCAGTAGCAATAATAACACTAACAACAGCTACAACAACGGCAGCGCATGCTTATACGTACTCACTGCCAAACAACAACACGAACAATTCAAAAACAAAAACAAATATATGTACAACACATAAAGCTAAAGAAAAAACAGCAACAGAAAAAATAAAAACACAAAAAATTATATCGAGTCGCAGCCACTTCAACCGTAATCAACTTATTTCAAAAACTAAAAATTTCAGTTTCGCTGATACCGTAAGAGATAAACGACGTTTGTGTTGAAACGTTCGAAGCGAAAACCAACAAAAAAATTAATACAACAAAATATTTCAAACAAACAACAGAAAGAAAAATATTGTATTAAAATTAAACAAAAAATAAATAAATCTATATATTTAAACAACGTTTTTAAAAATATTTATATACATAAAATATCTAAATAAAATGAATCTAACGGAAACGGATAAAACAGTTACTGTGTTTTGGTTTTAAAAAATAATATTTAATAAAAATCAATTTGTTCAACATTGTATAAAAAAAGTTGACAAAAATTAAAAAATTAATGTGTCATTCCACAAAACAACAAAAGATGGTTATAAAGATTTAAATTTGACGAATTTTTATTAATTACTTTAACAAAACATTAAAAAAACTTTTTGGATTTCATTAAAAATTTCAAAATATAAACTCCCTACTTTGGAACAAAATTATATCGTCCGTTTAATTAAATGTACAAAATAAAAGTTACCTCAATATATTATTTAAAAAAAATTTAACAACAACAATTTAATTAAAACTTAAATTAAAATTGAAAATTTTAAAAGTGGTCTCAGGTTACCAAAAAATTAAAGAAATATAAATAAAAAAATTAATATGTTAAATTTATACCAAAATTAGTGGAAATTTTTGAACATGATTAAATAATTAACAGAAATATAAAACTAAAAATTTTTGGTGAAAAATAAAAAACAAACCCTGCAACAGCAACAACTCAATCAACATGATTATGGTGCAACATTTGGTGGCAGCAAATGCTCATACATTTGTAAATCCTACCACCCAATCACCGTCACCTTCACCGCCCGCAAATAATCTGCAATCACCCTTAGCATCACCCACAGCCTCGATATCATCACATCCCACTACAGCCTCTTCGCCCTTATCCTCACCCGGCGATGATAGAGATCTAAATATGCAAAAAATTCCGTGCAACATGGATGCGACACAACGTAGCAGCAGTAATCGATCCCCTTGTTCTCCTCTGCAAAACAAAGTTGAAACTCCGGAATGGTCTCAAACACAAAGTCAAATGTTTGAGGAAGAAGATGATTTGGAAACACAGCGAACAGCAGCCACCATTAATCAAACGACAAGTGCCATACATAAAGGATCACCACAAGAGGAAGATCAGGATGAGGAGTTAGAGGAGAGGTTAAGCCATGACCATGAATATCGTCAACAACAATCGACAACTTCGCCCTCTAATCCCACTCCCTCTTCGTCGCCAGCTTTATCGGCAAATTCCTTAAATCAACAGACACCCTCTCCCCAACACTCACCCACGACAACAGCCAACAGTCAAGATTGTCGTCAACAATTTACCGTACTTTACAACCATCTTCGACAACATCCTCCCGCCTCTCGTCTTAACGTGCTTAACGATCATCACCAACAGCCGTCGCCACAGCCCCATCATCCTCATCAGAAGGATAACAACAGCAATGAAATGGAGCAGCAAAATAGACGTTCTGTTATTACGAGTCGGGAGGAAGAAGACTCCCTTTCCCAAGAACGATCATCATCGGAAAATCTCGACAAACAAATGGAGGAACAACCTCCCTCCGATCACTATCACAGTGATGATGAAGATTTCGATGACGAAGTCCCTTTGGATTTATCTTTACCCACAAAACTTGCCAGAAATCGTGCACGCACCTATTCGGGTACGGAATCAGATGATTCTGGTTCAGGTGTCAATGATCATTCTCATCATCATCACCACCATGAAGCAAGCAGACGTTTAAAACCTGAAGAACGTAAAGCGGCCTACAAAAAATCATTAATGAAAAGATATTGTGAGTAGAAAATTAAATGTAACCAAATCAAAAAATTAAATATCCACAAAAATTTCATAGAAATTTATGAAAATTTTGGAATCCTTTTTAAATATTTAATGAGATGTTCGAAACTCTTTAAAACTTAAATATTATTACTCTATCTTTAGTAAAAATATCAAACTTTTAATGTTTTTCCTAAAAAAATAAATTTTAGTAATTTATTTTTATATAGACAAATTTTACAGAATGAACTTCTAGTACAACTTAAAAAATTAATATATTTCTCATATATTAGTGGAAAATTTATTGTAGAATTATAAACAGGTCATACAAAGGGCTGGTTGAGAAATATTTATCATAAAGTTCTTACTTTTTTTGTAAATAATCCAAATCAGTCATACATTACGTATGTATAATTTCATTACGTATACGCAATATACATATTTTTATTTTTTGATCTAATAAAATAGAAATCCACATCGTCATCATCATTAGGTTAAATTTGTTAACATAGTTTTTTTTAAGTTTTTTTTTTTTGGTTTCTTTATTTTTCTGATTGCTGCTGCAACATACTTAAAAGTTCACCTACATGCAACCCTTACAGCAACATATTTTCAATCCTTTTTTCTTATACACTTTTTTACAATGACCGACCTGAACTATAAAAACAACAACATCAACAACAATAATGAAAAAAGTTGTACATAAAGAGCAAAAAAGTGCTTTTTATATAAAATCTGGGTCAATGCGGAAGGAAGGCATTGCATGACATGTGCCATGTTAATACACATTCAGATACATATGTACATATGTATGTATATGTATGTATGCATGTGAAAAAGTGTTGTGTCAGAGTTTACTTATATTTGTATGTGTGTGTATGTGCATGTGTAAATGCAGTTGGTAATACAAGGCAAACATTATATGTCATGTGATGCCATAATTTAGGCCATCAACATTCTCACCCAACAACAAACACAACAACATCTTGATGCATTTAAACCAGAGGTAGTCATAGTTGTTTTGTTGTTGTAGTTGCTGCTGTCATTGTTGGCAACAGTAGTTTAAACATACATGCACTTTTTAATCAACTTCAGTTTTACAATTTCCGGTATTTTATGGCAATAAAACAACAACATACTGCAACCGAATGAGAAATTTCCCTTAAAGCACAAAAAAAGGAAATTCTTGTGAAATTGCAATAACAATAAACACACATTACCATATTTTGAATATATAGAACGCCGAACAAATTACTATTACCTGCAAAGAGCGAAACGAAAAAACAATCATCAACAACAACTACAACTATAAAAGGAAATTAAAACTCATACTCCAAAGAAAAACAATTTAGGAACAAAGTAATCGATTCATTTATCATGGTTGGTTAAAGTGGTAGTTCACTGCGCGCGAACAGTCAAGTAGAGTCGAAGAGACTCGGTTTTGACCGGACCACTCCACTCGTCAGATGTAGTATTGTATAGTATTAGATCCATACTGTAGCAGTGAGAAATCTCTGGATATCATTAAGATCCAGATATCTGACCAAGATTAGATATGAAGTGACTGCCAAGAAAACGGTTCTTTTATCGGATAGAGCAGGGCATTCGCAGTGAAGATGGAAGACCGTTTCTTCCTTTTTCCTGTCTTTGCAACTGCGACAGTGTTCATTGAAGCGGAGCCTCAGCCGACTTGTATGTATGCACAGCACCAAGTGTCCTGTTATTACTGCTATCAATCTCGATATATCCCGTCTACTTCGGTTGTGCGTTTCTCATTGAAGAAGGGCCACAATACGCCGATGAAGATATCAACAGCAGATCCCGTTCTGGCAAGCTCCATAGTAGTCCCTATGCGCAGGGACCCAAACAAGGGTAATGTCAGACAGTCGACCCAGCCTTCACAGATCTTTCTTGCATTGTCTAACTAATAGGGGAATGGTAGTATAAGAATTTAGTGAGAGAAGTGCCGCTTCACTATCGAAATTCCTATGTTGCCTCGAATATTGAGGTCATGTTATCAACATATGATATCATGAATTCCATTAGGGGTTCAAATACTATAAATTGACTGATTATCAATCCATAGTATTTGATTGTTTTATTACTTAGAGTGTTACAAATTCGTTATTGTCAAATACGCATTTCGCTTTCACAATTATTTATTTTTTGCAATCGCAAATAAATTCCTTTTTAACAAGAATTTGTAATTTCCGCTGAAATTAAAAGTGGATGGATGCATTATTATAAGTATTACTTACTGTCTATACCAAAAATACAATTCAACCCAAATAAACTATCTCTCTATTTTCATTGACTGGGTATGTATGTATATATTTTTATAAATGTGTGCGTTTAAATGACTTTTTCGGTGTTTTATTTTTCTATTTTATTTTTTGCTTAGCTGCGTAACAGTTTCCTAACCCACCTCAACAATTTTATTGATTTTAAAGGCAGTTAGCAGTAGTAGTACCCCGGTATATTTGCCATAAATTTCAAAAGCAAAACAAAATTTCAACAAAACCAACAACAAGAAGCCCGCAATAAAAAGAAGGCATTTTGCTCAAAAAAACGCTCACACATTTTATGGTCTATATACAAAAACAATTACACATACACACACACACGTGCTTACAAACATACAGACCAAAAATAACACTTCTAGCAGAGATTAACTAACAACAAAATCTATTGAAGAGCTTTTTCAGAGTAATTTCAGAAATCAAAACAACAGAAAATTTTGATGAAAATTTTAATTTTTTCCTTTATAAATTTTAATGGGCGCGCAAAACTGGTTGACTCAACATTTTATTTTGGTTGCCTCTTTGGTGATTTTTTCCACCATTTAATTCTCTTCTTATGCTCATTTCCGTATATATGTATGTAAGTTTGTGTATGTATTTAAGTTAATTTTCTTTTAAGTATGGGTAGAACTCTTTTTTGTAGGGTCTAATAGTTTTCCTTTCATCTTTCTCTTCTAGTGATTTTTTCTCCCTTTTTATTATTTGTTTGTCTTTTATCACCAACAACTACAAACAATTTTTTGTTTAAGCTTGATTTTCAGCACAAGTTTTTGTATTTTTTTTAGTTCTTTTTTCTTTCTCTTTCGTGAGTTACTCTCTGTATTGCTTCGTGATAAATATGAACACTGTTTAGTTTTGATACTCAGCTCTTTAGTTTTTTTATTACTTATTTTTAAAATGTTTTTCCACTGACGACATTTCCTCACTATCACTTGTTGTTGGTATGGTTGGTAACATTTAAACTTTTCCAAACTTTGTTTAACAAAACGAAATATAAAAAATATGCATACATAGTTTTAGTTGCATGTCCACTAATATAAACAGACATACAAACAGTTTTATTTTCGTAAGAATTGTGGGAAAAATGTCTTTGGCTGACTTTAGTTATGGAGTTTTTTTTTAAGAATTTAAGACACTTAAAGTTCATAGGCAAATTTTTGTTATTTCACAACAAAAATATTGTTTATAGCTGTTAAAAGTAATGAATGATCTCATATTTATGTATGTATGTAGATCTCACCATTTTGATGATATAAACAACTTGAAATTCTAAACGCTTTTATGATTCTACAATCGGCGAAACTAAATTCTTAAAATTATTATATTATCTTAAAAACTGAAAAATGTATCTCTACTCAGGAAGTAGAATAACATTCTAAATTTAATTATATTTTTCTCATCTTTAGCCTAAAATATACTTAATATTTAATTTTTGTTTTTTTGTAATGAAGTTTTTGCTGAAGTGTTCTGGATTTTAAAATCAAGAACTAATCGAACTCAAATCATGCACATTTTTGGATTAATTCAATATTTTACATTCATAATCTTTATCTGAAAAAAGGCCTTAATTAGGCCTTTTTTGGTTCTGAAGCAGCTCCGGATAATTTGAGTACGGATAACTCAATTCCTTTTTTGAGTGTACGACTATACTTGACAGTTTCATTTTAAAATATTTTGAACAAGACCCTATCCGATTTCGGTAACCCTATTTAAGATTATTTCAGTAACTTTAGTAAACTGAAAAGGCATTTTATAGCTAACGGTGGCTTAAAAAAACACGGTGGCGCATTTTCTAAAACTAATTATTGTTTTTCAATTCCAGAAAAGAGTACAACCATATCCTAGCATAGAGAACATGTTAATGCTAATAAATACTATAAAAATTAGTTTATTCTTGAAATCTTATTTTTTGAAATCTGTATCATATCCTTGCCTTTATTTTAAAAACTACTTTATGTCCTAAATACAATTTATGGATTCCCATGAACTCCTCCATTTGATTGAGCACACACATTACATACATACATCAGCAACATTTAAAATGTTTTGCTCTAAATTACTGTACATAATTTTTTATACAGAGTGATGTAAACTAAACAGAATGAAAGCAGAAAATGTTTAAAAATGATGTCAAGAGAATCTACATAAATGTTGCTGATGTTTCTAGTTCATAACATAGTACATACACAGTTTATTTTAGGAAAGGAGACTTAATTTTATTACCATGACTAACACAGACATATGTAAGACTACGGAAATGGCCTAACAGACTAAACTAAACCAAACTAAACATTATTTTCATTTACAAAACTAAATTTGAAAAGATCTAAAAATTAAAAAATAAACACTAAATCTAAGCCAGCACTAAAGGAGAAAATATTAACAAAAAAACTTGTATAGGCAGAGTCACACACAGAAAACAAAGAGAAGGCAAAAACAAGAAGCAGAGAAAAAAACTAATAATAAAGTACATACATACATACATACGTCTAAAAAATAAAGAAAAAAACAAAAACACAACATAGAATAACTTGAGGTAGGTTGGGAATTGTTGAATATTTTTTATAATATTTTGTTTTTCTTTCTTTTTTTCTGCTGCTGCTGTCTTTCTATAGTGAATTAAGCTCATTGCTAGACTATGCATGTATGTATGTGTGTTTGTTTGAGTACAATGTAAGTGAAGGCAAAAACAACAGCAATGTAAGAATGTATGTAT